TATATAATATAGCTTGACAGGAGTGACTGAATTTATTTTTCATTGGTGTTTTCTTTATAAACTAATAGGTCTTAGTAGCAACTGACCCAGAAAAGGGGCGTGGCATAAGTGCAGTGGTCTTAAACCAAGCCACCGGTGCAGTTATGGCCACCAGAACATTCGATACCTACTCATCGAAAGAGGACTCTGATTCACTGGTGCTGTTTGTCAATATGGTATCTGATGGACGAATTCTTTGCTTTACTGTGAAGGTAAATAATAAATTTGTAACATGGTAGAATCTGTGGTGGGATGATACAATATTTGGTTGCACAAACATCTGGGGTACAAACATCTTTTGTTCACCAAGCTAGATCAAGCTTTATTCTCAGTTATGGACACATTTTTTTATTTGTTCACCAAGCTAGATCAAGCTTTATCTTCAGTTATGAACATACATTTTTTATTTTGGGAAAAGGGGGGGGGGGGGGGGGGAGTAGGACCAGGACCGTTAGCCCAATCACCATCCCTGGATCTGTCGCTGCAAGCTGCCAGGGTCTATCATTTTGAAAAAATCTCGAGATAATACTGACATCTCTCAATATTATTGGTCTTATTATTATCATGATATATAATTCATTTTTGGCTTTCAGGATGAAGGTTCAATGTCTTTAAAAACTACTGCCAGAAATTTAATGAGAATTCTTGGAAGTGAGAACTTTGGCCGCTTTGGCTGGCGTGACACTTGGGGTTTTGTTGTTCAGAAGAAAGGAAAAAGATATGCAGAAGGCTTTCAAAAGTCAAAATCGCTTGACACCTGGGCTGAGCCTGTTTCTTTTGAGGTGGCAGTACCATTGCAGTTGGTGGAAGAGAGTGAGTGTCATTGGGAAGATACAGAGGGCAATAGAAGACGGAAAGACTTTTGTAGTAAATATGAAGGATATGGAAGTATATGCAGCTGTAAGTATCTATTAGAGTTAATTAGGAAAACACAATAATTATTATTAAATGCAAATTTAGTTAATCTTAATGTGACCCCCTCCTCCCCTCTTGTACCTTCCTCACTGTGCCACAGGGATCCCAAGTCACTAAGAAAGTAAAAGAAGAGCAGTGTATTGTGGATTGAAGGAGCCTAGGCATGACAATCATTTGTCTTTGGCTTGCCATACAATGTAGACACTTTTATTTAGCTTGGGTATAATAATTTTCAATTACAGACCAATTGTCATTCCCTGGAGAACCATTTCATTGTTTAACAGTTGTACATGTGAGACACTTGTAATTATACACTGTACACCTCAAACAATGGGAAAACACACCTATACTGAGCTACTAAAAACTAAAAGTAACTAAAAACATTTTGGCTAAAACTTTGATACAAAATAAAATTATGTACCCAAACATATACAAGTACAATATACTGTAGTTTACAATGCTCGCATCTGTGGTGTACATCAGATACACCATGGTGCTTATGTATGTAAATATTTAACATTTTATTTGCCAAAGGCGAAGTTGATATGGGAGAATATTTGCTGAGGCTAAATAAAACTGTGAGGTAAATATTCTCAGATATTCGCTGAGCCTGAGGGGAATGATTGTTTTAGAACTCTTAACACAAGTGAATTTTAGAATATACAATGGAGACAGAGGTTTTTTTTTTCATTTATTTTAATCTCTGCCAACAGCAAACATGGACAAACGAGCAAATATTAAGTGCTTGTTATATTCACCTTAAGGCAAATAAGATGTAAATTATGACCTATTTATAGCACGCCAGATTTACATTATCATATTCGCTTGTATAAAAATACTATATTTAATATTGTTGATATATATTGCTGTGGTTTTTGTGTTGTCATTTTTTTAAAAGACCATTCCAAATGTGGYATATCTTTGATGTTACAAGGCATTATTAATTCCATTTGTGCTCTATCCTTAGGTTCAAACCCAGCGGCTATCGACATCAAAGCAGAGTCTCTACCTAATAACCAACAGCTTGAGCTTCCAGTAGCAGTGATAGCCAGTAACAGACCTCATTACTTGTACAGGATGTTAAGGTCAATGCTATCTGCCGTGGGAGCAAAGCCTGATAAAGTGACTGTATTTATCGATGGTTATTTTGAGGAACCACTGGCTGTGGCGAAACTGTTTGGTGTTAGGGGAATACAGCATACACCAGTCAGCAGTAAAAATGCAAGAATAGCTCAGGTATTACAATCTTTAGTTATGGTATTTCTTTAGTTTGATTTTTTCACAGTATGGCAGTTTAGAAAGCTCTTTAAATGCTCTCTACAGTACCTCTCAATCCCTAGTTCCAGGCCTAGATCTTGAGCAGCTTTTATATCCTCATTATATAATATATTCTGTGTTGCCCTACATAGGACACCAAAATTAATTACTAGTCATTCCAAGATTGGGGAAAAAACTGGCTTTTCTATTAACAAGTTTGAACGCAATATTATCGAGTGCAAACGCAATGAACAAAGCAAAAAATTGGAGGATACAATGCATGGGCAGATCCAGGGGTGGTAAAAGGGGCGACTAGTCACCCCCCAAGGTTTTGATCAAATTTCTCAGTAATATCATTAGTAACAGTCACCCCCCTTTTTCTCAAGTTCCTGGTAAAACCTTTGTAATAGTCACCCTCCTTCTAAAATTCCTGGATCTGCCTCTGACAATGTTTCATAAGAGGTACGGTAAACCAAGTTTTTGGCTCTAGTGAGAGCAGGACCTAAACTGGCAGTGCTGTTAGCCTCTGTTGCAGATATTATATGTGGTTATAACATATATATTATATAACATTGTGGGAGAGTTACAGAAGATGTCAGCTGCACTGCTGGTGTTGTAATGTGGTGGTATGGATTTATTTTTTAGCATTATAAAGCAAGCCTTACAACAACCTTCAACCTGTATCCCAAAGCAGAGTACATGATCATTCTAGAAGAAGATTTGGACATGTCTCCCGATTTGTTTAACTATTTCCAACAACTTATTCCTCTGATGAATGTGGATGACAGTATTTACTGTATATCTGCTTGGAATGATCAGGTAAGATCTCAGTGCTGGAATTATGACTGCAAAAGTGCTTCCTCTATGCACGTTTGTGGGTTTAAACCACAAACCCACCAGTATGTGAGTGTAAAGTGGTTTTTGGTTCTCCAGTTTTTCTCCCTAATGGCAGAAAACGATACATCTCACTTCTAATTAGATTGTGAATTTACAGACTCAAATTATCAGTCATGGACTCGTTATCAAAAGAGCTTTTAACTTACAAAACCTTCACATTTACTCAAGTATTTTTTTACCTTTGCTTCTTTTTAGGGGTATGATCACAAATTAGGCAACAAGGCCATGCTATATAGAGACAGACTCAAATTATCAGTCATGGACTTGTTATCAAAAGAGCTTTTAACTTACAATACCTTCACATTTACTCAAGTATTTTTTCCCYTTGCTTCTTGTTTAGGGTTATGATCACACAGTAGGCGACAAGGCCATGCTATATAGAGTGGAGACCATGCCAGGATTAGGCTGGTTAGTACTGATGTATATGCACAAAACGAGGCATTTCTTTACAGATTCAGTATTACACCCAATAAGTGGAATCCAGAATGTAAAATGTGACACTGTCCTATACCCCACAAAGAAGCCATTAGACCTCAATTTCCAAGGTCTTACACAAATTCTGAGGTTGAAAACCCCTGAACCTCCTCAATAGTATCTTAATTACATGCCCAAATTAACTTTGTTTTGTTTTCTATGGATGTTGACAAGGGCGGAAAACTGAAGAATTAGATACTTTTTTTATTGTTTTGCGTTGTGTTGGAAGAAACGGAAGAAACTCAATTAGCCCACCCCCCCCCCCTAAACTCAATTAACCCCCTCCCCCTAAAATTTTGGCTGGATCCGCCTTTGGTTGAGGAAGAGCTTTAGCCTAAATGACACTAAATGACAAGTTCACTGCTTCAACATTCCCTCCTCACTTTTGAACCAACGCTCCCYACCCATCCATACAGGGCTGTATATTGACTCTCGTTATTATATTTAAGTTTTCAAAGTTATTAATACTGTAGCAAGAAGAGCTTGAAACTCTTTGGTTAACACCAGAAAGGTGCAAGGACTCTCCTCTTGTTTTTGTCCCTCCCTCCTCCCCACCCACCCGCCCTCTGTATATATTTATATGTTCCCTTCTTATTGTATGTGTTTGCATTTCCAAGGGTATTAAAGCGTAAACTCTACAAAGATGAGCTTGAACCGCAATGGCCAACACCAGACAAGTTCTGGGACTGGGACATGTGGATGCGACTACCTGAGATACGAAAGGGTCGTGAATGTATCATACCAGACATTTCGCGGACATATCACTTTGGTACCAAGGGATTAAACATGCATCCGTATTTCCAGGAATTGTACTTTAAAAAACACGCTTTGAACACTGAACCTAATGTCAAATTAAACATAGAAGTTATGAAAAAAGAGAATTACGAGAAAGAGATTGAACGACTTGTTGGGTGAGTATAATGGAGTAAAGTACGCTATTCAAAGCTATTTGCATATATTATATTTTCAATACAATACAATGTTATTTTAAGTTTACCATGTCTTCGGATTGGTCCACGAATTATTTAAATATCTTCCGCATAAATTATCTAAAACTCTTCGCAAGAAATTGGTCAAGAGTACAACCACTCTAATAATCTGAGTTTGTTGATGACTCTGTCTTATCATTAAACGTCGGGTTTCTTTTGCGCGTTTTCTTCTGATAAACCACTACGTCTTTTCGGGGGAAGTATATACGAACCTGCAAGCAGGATGGCGACAAAAGCACCCGAACGATTCGAATACACTACGTGTGGATGTGAATTTTCTTTAAATCCGAAACAAACAATTAATAAGTTGCGGATTCAAAAATATCTGGATACGTGTAGACGAGGCCTAATCGTTTTCGATATTTTGGAGCAATAAATACAGAGTATTTTGAGGATATTCAGTCCGCTTATTCGCTGTCATCATCTCATAAGCCAATTATCGCTTGGCCATTGTATTATAACCGCAGGCATTCGGATCTCAGAGCCGGTTCGTACGAAAGAACTAACGAGTCGATCTGTGAGCTAGCCCGCTCTTATTGTCGTAGTTGTTTAAGGGTTCTATTAAATTAAGGGGTTTCCATTTCCGCTATGCTTGACAAATTCTCGCTTCGCAAGAATAAAACACAACTCGGGAAACAAGAGAGGTCGAAATGGAGCAAGTCTAGTCCTTTCAAAGGTTCATATCCATAAATGCATTGCACACCTCAGCTAAAATGCGCGTGACGTGAAAACTCCAGTGCACCACATTTTAATGCATTTTCACTGAGCAACATATATATTTACCTTTTTTTCAGTATTGCTGAAGTGCTCGACCACTCCAAGAATCCGTGCGCAAACTCAGACTTTATCCCCCAAACAAAAGGAAAGACTTATGTATTTTATATCAAAATGGATCACCCGACTGACTGGGTAACCTGGAATAGCGTATCAAAATGCCTTCATATCTGGGACTTGGATGTTCGTGGTTTCCACAAGAGCATGTGGAGACTATGGTTTAATAGTAATCATATTCTAATTGTAGGTTCTCCTGCTTCTCCTTATTCCAAGCATAAGCCGTCGAATGTGAATCCTATATATATTCCTAAGAAAGAGACACCAAAACTAAGATAATAACAAAGTTTGTTTTTATATGTCAGAAACTCGACGGACAAAATCTGTTTGTGATACCGTGGCTTCCAAAATGCTGTATTTTTTTCAAAGTTCTCGCTGCTCGYACATCTTCATTTGGAGTAACCTATTTTCGCGAAAAAAAGCCTTTATATATCACCGCATTCATTTTTTTTATCAAAAAAAAAGTTGGACTAGAAGACGTAATATAAACAAAACGAATAACAATCCGAAGTCATGATGAATTTTTCGAGTTCTTTTTGCTCCTAGAACGCGCCTGTATCCGTCATTTATGCGATGCCGGAATGCAATTATTTACAGGACAAATCTGAAATATTGTTAGCCTTCTGCATTTTCCAGTCAATTTCCAGATTTTGATGCAAATATTTAGGCTGTTGTTTTGTAGGCTATAATTTTCTTGAGCGGTTTCGAAGTTAACGAAAAAAAATGTGCGCGCTCTTTTTTATTTTAAGAGAATGAATATAATATTATACGATTAAACTAAAAATGTATAGTGTTTTGGGGGGGGGGTGGGAGAGGTGCGCGATATCGCTTGTATGGTGACCCTTCGTTTTGCCAATGCCTCATCATGTCCTTTCCTTTCCTCTTCCATCTTCTCATTTCCTTTTTTTTTTTAATTATTATTATTGTTTTTTAACTCTCGAGCACACGGAGCTTTGTTCACCAAGGTCTTCAAGGCTCATTTGTACACGGTCCAGATAATCGCGCGATCCCTGGGAGCGAGTGCTTAACTTTTCTTAATTTGGTAATAAGCTTTCATGCGAACCATAAACGACAACCTTAACAGATTATTTGACTGAGCAGAGCCTGGTTGTCTGGTCTTTAAGGGCTTTAGAGATTTAACGGGAAGTAATTTTGGCGAAATGCGCTGAAACGTTTTGTTCTTTTCTTTTTAATTTAGTAGAGACATGGTTTACTAACCATGGTAAAGGCGTTTACTACTAAGCAGAAAAAAATGTCGGTGCTCAAGACAAAACTAATTTTGGTAAAATTATTCTATTTCTAGCTCACGTTATATATATTTTATTTTCATTATATTTTTCTTTTGTATTATTATTTATTTATTTTATTATATTTATTCATTTATTTATTTATTTTTTTAATTATTTTATTTTATACCTCCTGTTCTTTTTATTCATTTATTTTTCTTTCATTTTGTTTTTCTTTCATTTCTTTTTTTCTTCTCCCATTTTGGTTTTGAAGTGGATTCTTAAATCATTCATTCATCTCTCTTTTCCTTTTTGCTGCCCCCCTTCGTTCTTTTATTCTTTCTTCATCTTTCTCTCTTTCTTTCTTCAATTCTTCTTCCTTCCTTCAATTCTTCTTCCTTCCGTTCTCTCCCTTTCTCGTGCGCTTTTCTTTTATTCTCGGCTTCGTCTACATATTTCTGAGTCAGTCTGACTCGATAGCCCGATTGTGCAAATCAGAAAAGAAAAAAAAGAGTCGGAAAGTGAATACAATACTTTGTACTCCCATCTTTCACTGAATGCGGGAAGGAGCTATGATCGTACGAGGAGATTAAATTCGATCATTAACTATGATTAAATTTAAAGTATATTTTGAAAGGGAAAATAAATCTTGCTACGTTGAGACTCATGGTCTGTTTCGCTTGTAGATTCCGGCGCATGCGATAAACCGGAAAGTGAGAAAAAARTGATATAAATAAAATGAATGACAGACCTCAGCTCTGAACGAATAAATTCTATAGTGAACCTTAAAATGCTGCTTCTGCATCAATAAAAGCAAAAAATGTAATCTTTTTCTTTTTTTCATTATATTTCAATCGTGGTTTTTCTCCGGCACTCTGGAACGACCAAAGGTCGTCTTGTGGTCATCTTTAAAAGCCATGTATTTGCAACAAGGAAACGCGGTCAGTAAAACACCGGATTTTACTTATTTACACTCAAATGGGAAACGTAACCCGGTATGAAATTCTATCCTAAAATCGCAAAAAAATTGAAAAGGTCATTAAGCTAAACCACTTTTTTTTCCCGCGGAGTTCCACGTGCTTGAAGGTATACCTAAGTGGTGTTCGTCAGCTAGATGCCCTTTACGAGAAGAAATACCCCTAATAAAGTCTTTAAAAATAACCTAAATATCAAAGACGTTTGATTCAGTGATTAATACAAATGTTTTATAGCATTCTTGGCGGTTGTTGATATACAGATATTTCATTTGCCTATAGTTTACTAGGCTGTCATCGCGCGAAATGAGGTCAAGCACACAGGTCTCAAAGTTACAAGCACAGTAATCTGAGATCAGCCAATCAAAATACTCTATATATTTTTGACCTAAAGCTAATTGTCGATCGACCAATCAGAGGGGTTGTTGTGTTGAGCATTTGTATGCACTCCCGCAAGGTTTCCTTGGCAGAAACAAACGCTGGCTCTGATGTTCAATCAAGCAGAGTATTAAAAACAAGCATTTTCTATTATATTGACTGCTCGGAATTGCTATCTATTTTGACTAGCGACTCGAGGCTTTGGTGGTTGAATTATCAAGGTGACCTGGAATTTCTAAAACAGTGAAATCTTGGATTCTGGCAACGTCGATCGTGACATCAAAAATACGAGCCTTCACGAACGTGACTTCTTAAGGACGGCATCCCTACGGCAAAAATAGCCTTTTTTCAGTATTCGAGTGGTATATCAAGTCAAAAACCATCCTTGTGTGTAGTATAGGGATCAGTATTGCTGTATAATTATTTGATTTGGATTTATTTACGCTGGAAGAGAAAGAAATCTGAACAGATAATTCGGGACTCATCCACCCTTTGTTTTGCTATCTGGACAAGAAGAAGTAGTGGATTTGTCGTCGACGCGAATGAAATCTTTGACAGAAATATTTATTCTGGCTGCACAGATGGATCAAGCTTCAAAAATGTCGGTGAACTGGGATTCATTTTCCAATCGCTAAAATTTTAGCCTAGCCACAACAATGGCTTTGAAGTAGGATTTGAACCAAAGATAATATAAAAGCCAAGAAAAGCAGTTTAAAGAGAGAACGCAAAACCACCAAATACACTCGACTGGTAAGTCCAGAATAGTCTTTTTATGATATTCTCAGCTTAATTTACACTAGTATTTCATATAATTTGGGCGGTTTTTCCTTCTTTATTAAAGCGATAATTTTTTCTGCCATTTTTATGTGCAGCGTTTGGAATATTGAAATATTTTTTTTCGGCGCGCGTCTGTTTTTGACATCTCATGTCATTTTAATCAAACTACGATAATATTCACTTTTTGAACCAAAAATAATCTTCGAAGCAGTAGAAATTCTAAATTCCCACACAGTAGAGTCAAAATTGAGTAAATCAAGAGTATTGTCATACATTTAATTTAGTATTAAAGTAAAAAGAAAACGCCTTGTATTCGGACGCGGCTCCTGGAGATGAAGAAATAATGAAAAAATCGTTTTATCAATTCATGAGCGTTGCAATCTGTATAAATATTTCCTTTAAACCTTACGCTTTTGTATCATATAAACAGCTGCAGTAGGTATTAAGCCGAAGAACGTGGACAAAAGCCAAGAGAAAAACCCGCATAGTTCTTGAGAATCGAAAATTTTAATATCCCATGTATCAATCTATTCTCGAAGGAATTTATAAACATCTCAAAATTCATTTTGATGTTGTTGGTTTTTTATCGTTTTAATCATGTTTTTCCAGACTTTTCCTTTCATTTGAACTCAACTAATAGTCACCACATATTATCAAAGGAATTCGCAGATCGCTTCTGTTTACTAAACAGTCCCTTTGTTTCCTGCACTACTTTCTATTAAATTTAAAAACGGGGTTTTCTATTGTTCTTTTGTAAATATAATGACATCAAACAGAGACGCCCTTATGATGAAATACCATTTTCCCATTTCTATTTTCCCATTTTATTTTTTGAGCGAAAGAAATCAAATTCTTAAAATCAAGGATTGAAACACTTTTGAATCACTTTTTAGAAAAAAAAAACATATTAATGTTAGTATTTTCCCCCGAAAATTTTATTTAGCTATGTTGTGTAACTTRAAATATCCTTGAGTCTCTTGTAAAAGTCAAATTTCAACTTAGCATATCATGTTCTCAGATCGAATTTTCTTAGAATGGATTCTGTTGGATTATATTATTTAGGTATAATGAACTAGTAGGTGTGTTCTAAAATAAGTCTAAGATATCTTAAATGCAAAATACTGCCCTTTTGAAAGAGGCAGAAAAATTTTTTTTCATTAAGTATATATAATTAATATACTCTCAGCTTCAATTATTTGTGCTTGGCAGGTTGGAACTGACTCTTGATCTAAATGGCAAAATATATAAAATATGACTACATGTACGAAACACTGCTCTTTTGATAAAAAAAAGGTTGCTTATTTTCATTACTATTTCATGTTTTCCTTAGTGATCTTCACTCAAAAGATTGCAACTAGGTTTTTTATCTAAATAGGCAAATATGTTTAATATTTAATGCAACATATTACACTTTTTTGAGGGTAAAATTTGAATACTCTCATTTCATTTGAGTTTCTAACAGCTACACATTCACCCTGTTTTTCAAATGTATAATTCAAGTAAAGAACACTTTGTTTTAATTCAATTTATACAATCCCCTGACATGTGACAGACTCGAGTACTGAAAATGTCTTGGGATGACCAATGTTTGAGTAAATTGACATAATTTTATGATTTATTCAAAAAATACTGGTTCTACAAATTAATTTATTATCCATTGCTAAAAGACAAATGTTGACGTATTTAATTGTTTACTTCATAGCTAAAGTACAAAAGTTATATGGTTATTATGGTTAAATTTAAATTTTACCCTTTGTTAAAAAAGCAAGAGCATGACATTATCATGTAGATCTAAGACACACRCACAGTGTAATAGAATATCACTGAGTTATAACCACAAGGTCAAGCCTTGTATGTTTATGTGTGTTTTAGAAATGGAAACCTAAGTTATACATGCATGTGCATTCAAAAGGATAAGTCTAAAAGATATTTTTATTATTAGTGATAGTGTCAAGTAGCTACCAAATAGGACATTCTGATTGGTCRCTGGAAATTTGGTACTGACAGCGATTTTAATAGCAGGTAATTATTGCTGTCATACATGCCTTTTAATGATTTCCAGATTTGAATATGCCATGAAAATTCTATGACATTTCAGAGTTAACATTGTATTTTTTCTCTTAATTTTTTTTCTTCAAAAAATTGCCTTTGGTTCATACCATGAAATTAAAAGGTTTGAACTTAAAGAATATAATTCATATTTCTGCTCCCAGTTTTTTTAAAAGTAAATTTAGCTACATATTTATCATTAAGTAAAAAAATATGATATATAAAGGGTGATATTAAGCGTGGTTTAATTATTACACTAGCAATTTTGTTTAGTGGATCTCTGTGAATAGCTCTTCAAGCATGTTCGAAATTGCAGCGACTTGACTGCAAAAATATTGTTAGTGTAAACAGGCCCTAAACTGTATTGAACTTAAAATGTGTTTGTGAATTTAATGTATATTTTGAATGGGATTTAATTGATATCGCAAGCTTAGAACTATTATTAGTAAATTGTATATGATATGCTTCAGTGAATGAAATATCCAAGAAAAGATAAAATTGCGCGATATTGGACCTCATAATTCAGTTTTCACAGAACATTGACTCAGCTGAAATGAATATTCAAAAGTCCTGAAATAACTAGCACTCTAAGTTTGCTCAACTACAGGTATTGAAAGGTTTCTGAATCAATCTTTTTGACATCATTTGAATTGGAACATGCACTGTACAAGTCTGAACCTTTCTTTGTCAAAGGTATATATATTTTTTTATAAATATAATTAATTTAGTTGATTAATAGTCAAAACGTAAGGAATTATGCTGAAATACGTAATCAAAGGAAATTGCGCATTAGCCACGTATTATACAACATGCAATTTCTATCATTGATTATTTTTTGAAATAATATTATCAACAAAGCTTTATATTTTATTCTAAATGTCACATCACATTGCAGACCATGCTAGTAAGCATAATACAGATAGATTTTTTTGAAAAATTACTCCTGCCAAGTAGTACATTAAATAAGATAAGAGATAGATTTAATGATAAAAATTTACATGGCCGTAGCAAAAGCAGACTGAATTGTGTAAATATTAACAAATACAAAATTATTAAAATTATATACTAAATATTACATTAACTAGTAAATAACATATAGAAGATATGAAAAATATACATTGTGTTAAAGTATACTGATCTTCATTCATCACAAATTTTGATCCTCGACTCATTCATCACAAATTGTAATCCTTGATTCTGCCCTTGATTTTGACATATTAAATTCAAAACCATAACTTTATTGACTGTTAACATTTGGGGAAAATCTTGAAAAAGGGGGATATATTTAAAACACAAGTGAATATAATGAATCCGGCATGCTCATTGGTAACAATCTACATCTTATGCTATTGGTGCATGCTCCTTTTTGATTTGTGCCACTGGCAGAGATAAATAGAATTTGAAAAAATATTGGTTATGTAATAATTTCACTTRTGTTAAAAATACTAAAACGATTATCGTGAAGTGAATGGGAATATTTACCGAGACGTGAGTCTTCAAGCTGCAAGAAATACTAAAACGATTATTGTGAAGTGAATGGGAATATTTACCGAGACGTGAGTCTTCAAGCTGCAAGATAAGTATTCCCTGATATTCACTTCGCCTTGGGCAAATAATTGTTAATTATTACTGGATTTACTTAGGTATTTCAGGGAAATTCTGTTTGATTTAYATCTATTGAATTTTGCTGTTTTTTTTGGGTCACAGTCAGTTGTCTGGAATCAGCGATAAATAAACCCAGCGCACCATAAACAATGAGTTATTTTGTTTTAAATGCTGGATAATAAAACTCTTCACTTTGAGATTGTGTAGTATCTGAGAGTATTTTGTAATTCTGTATTAATATGTATATTTATTATATATTTTTTGCTTTCAGAATTTTAAAGGAACAAAGAACAAAAAGTTTGTTTCAAACACATCAATAAACCTCACTGCTTCTCAACCATGTTCGGAGCTCACAAAGAGATCAATTAATACAGTCGGAGATCCATTGGACAGAGATYCAACTTTGGAAGACAACAAAATGGCAAGTAGATACCATGATGTTGAATCCAAGCAGTCCACTGACCACCCGAGGAGACGCCATCCTCTTGGACCAAGATCCAAGACAATGATTGAAGAAACCAGCACTTCTAGGTACCGCAGTCCAGGAAGCGAAGAATCTCCAGGGCTAGGTAGAAGATATGGAAGTGCAAGATACCATAGAAAAAATACGGATCTTAAATCCTCTGATGATACAACAATTTCTCCAAGTTATTCTCAGGGGATATCGTCAAGGCGACCAGTTTCCACAAGTGTCAAATACACTAGCTCTGTTGCAACACCTACCAGGCCGGCTATTAACCCATTACATTATGGGCGGAGCTCAAGTTTTTCACATGAAAATACAGCGTCACAGTATTCAGTGTCTAAATCCAATAGTAAAGGCCCTCTGTACCTTGACTTTACGCGAAGTGGATTGACCAGTAGAGAGAAAAYAGCAACTACTGGGGAAAGGGATAGCCCTATTCTCTCTAGATTGCAAACCTCATCTTATAAGACAAAGTGCCCCTCACCAACTCATGAAGACAGTAGAGTTAAACCTGACAGAACAAGAACGTACTCCCCTACTTTATACCAAAAAGACAGAGGACGATCAACTCCTTCTCCAGATATCACAAAAGGCAGTTTATCAAGAAGTAGTTCTCTAAGTTCTAGGGGTTCTAGTACCGTCTCCAGCAGGAAAAGCTCAGCAAGTTCTACTGGTAGGGACAGAGTAGCAAATTTAGGGGGTTACTCTGGACAAACATCCCCAGATGATACTACATCACAAAATATATCCCTTCTCAGTCAACACATTGCTAGGACGTTTCGTCCCGAAGATCGTAGAGGCTCGGACGGGGCACTAACAGAGCGACCACCATTCTTGCGGAGTTATTCCCTTCGGAGTGATTACACCTCGAGGTATGTTCAACACCAAGTTCGTGAAAGAAAGAACTCAAGTCCAGTTCAAATGACTTTACACAAACAGGCTAGTTTACYGGTGAAGAAGGATAGCGCTTTGCTTGGAGAAAAAGATGACGAACGTTCAAGAAAAGGAAGTTGGTTGCGGTCGAGAAAAAAGGCTACTGATTCGCCAGAGAACATTAAAAGGTCGGATTCAAATTACCCATCTAATAAAGAAAAGAAAGTCTCTCTAAGCAGTAGGCTGTCATCTTCCAATGAAAGCAACACAGAAAYTCCACAAGCTCCAGCAAAGAGAAAATTTTCTGTACCAAGTAAGTACTTTTCTTCAAGAGACACAATGTCATCTGGGGGAAGCTCTGAGGTTCTTGACGTGACAGAGATTGGTAGAGCCAGGAAAAAGTATTCCCTCCCAGGGAAGYTTAGCTTTAGGAAGCGAAGCCCCAGTATTGAAAGAACGGCCGCTACAAGTAGGTCCGAACCTGGTAGTCCTGAAAGGTATTTTGAAGAATTAAGACCTGGTAAATCTGGTTCTTTTAGCTCAGATTCAGAAAAAACTGTTGGATCGGTAATGAGAAGATTTAAGTTTTGGGATAAAAAGGAAAGGCGTTCTCCTCGTTCGAGGTCTATATCACCTGAGGGAAGGGATGCTGAACAAACTGAAAGACTCTTGGGTAAAATAAATGTTGGTAATACTGCCAAACCTAGTGAGTTGAGCAAAAAGGACACGGAAAAAATATCAGATTCTGAAATTAAACTTGAAGAAACAAATGTACCACTAAGCAAGAGTGCAGGACCTGAACAAGTGGAAAGAAAAACGTCTTTCAMAAAAATAGACGTCAGCAAAAAGGTTTCCATACCTAAAGAGGAAACAGAAAATTCGMCAGACAAGAAAGACGATTCGCTAACTCGAGGACAGAGAAGGGCACGGTATAGAAGAGCAGCGGGTGGCTTTTCAAAGTCAATGGATGCAGCTGTAGGGGTTTCTACAACCAGCACTAATGACGAAGAAGAACCATCATCGCCAACTTTGGAAAAGTCTGAGAAACTTAGAGAGAGGAGACGACGACGCCAGCTCGAGAGGGAGAAATTCTTTGCCTCAATGGCTGAAGGAGACATAGCTCCCCAAGAATACAGACCAAGAAGGCTCCGGTTAAAGGTGTCACGGAGCATGGATGCTCCGGAAACTGAGAAGCGTCGCTCCCAAACAATCGCTTCTACAGATCATGTAGATATTATAGATTCTATTCTAAAAGAATCGCCGCACTTGTCTGAAGAGAATGTGAAGCCGCCGTCAATCAAGGAAATGTTAAGTAGGTACATATCTGAAGATGACTCATCGAAGATTATCCTAGAAGCGCACAAGAAGAAGAAACCGGAGGAACGACCGCACAGTATTTGTGGGGGTGCTCTTTCGCCTGATGAGATGAAAAAGTTTGAAGATATCAATTTTTCTCTCGCAAGGAAGGATTCCTCAGATGAGCCAGGAGCGTTAAAGAGGGTGGATAAAAGGTTTTCTTCTGAGGATGATACTGATGGACGACATGAAAACAGTCAGGGGAGAGATTTGCCTTTGAATGTCGTTGGACATGAGCAGGAGGTCCAGAAGACGTTACCTAAAGCTGAGAAAGAAGTTGAAATTTTAGAGAGTGAGAAAACTTCGAGAAAACTCTCTCAATCTGAAGATTCCACGGACTCACACCTTAAGTCTTTGTTTAGAAGACGAAAGCATTCCCATGAAGAAGATAAAGGAAAGAAAAAAGACAAAGAACAAGAAAAAGAAAGGATCAAGGTAAAGGAAAGAGAAAAGAAAGAAAAGGAAAATGAAGAAAAAGAAAGAAAACAAAGGGATAAACAAAGGCATAAAGAAGAAAAGGAGGAAAAACTTCGAAAGGATAAAGAGAAGCAGAAAATGAAGAAGGAAGAAAAAGAGAAGGCAAAGGAAAGATTAAAGGAAAAAGAAAGAATGAAAGAAGATGAGAAGAAAGTCAAAGAAAACGTGGATAAGAAAAATAAGGAAACTAAAGAGAAATCAAAAGAAAAGGAAAGAAAGGATAAAGAAAAGAAAGAGAGAAAGCACAAATTAATGGAAGAACAGAGGCAGAAAACAGATCTTAAGTTTCAAGAAATCGCCGAAAGACGACAAAGTATTGAAACAGAAAGAACCCAAGGGCAAGAATTAGAACAGAACGAAGTTGGAGAATCTACCGAAGGTGAACTTCCAAGGGAAGGCTCGGTATCTGCGCTACTCGCCCTGTTTGCTAAAACAGAAGCAATTGAAAAGCCTAGACACCCTATACAAATTCACAAGGTAAGACCAAGAACTCTAGCCGCCGGGATTGCACCAGAGATCATCAAAGCAGCAAGAGATATGGTGGAAAGAAGAGAGAGGTTCAGAGACCAGTGTAATACTCAAGATGATTCTAATGTTAACACGAGGACGGCTGCGCGCCCTGATAGTATTATTGAGGAAGGGGGTGCTCTTCAAGAAGAAAACAAGAAGAAGGAGGAAAAAGAGAAGAAAAAGGAGTCCAAGAAATGTAAGTTGATCTATTTGAGTGTTTTATCTATTCATTTATTTTATTATTTATTTATTTTTATTTACTTTTTATTTTTATTTTTTAAATTTAATTAATTGTTTATATATATATTTATTTATATTAACTAATTAATTTATTTATTTTATTTTATTTTTTTGTTATTTTTATTATTTTTATTTTTATTTTTTCCGATATTGGCAGTGATATTTGTATTAGGCAGACCCTCCCTTCATTAAACGGACATGACAAGTTTCCCAGTCGCTAGATTTCCATCCCATATTTACTGTAAAACAAACCTCTAAGTAGAGCACACCCTTCATTAAACGGCATGACTAGTTGGCCGGTCTAGTTAAGACAACGGTTGCAATCACTTGAGTACGGTGCCTTTATTTACTAGAWATACTTTAAAAAACACATTACAGTCGTCTCAATTACACGCGCGGAATTGTCGTCACGACAAAGTAGGTTTTGTTCGACTACGTCAAGCGAAGTGTTTCCATGACATTGCTGGGCACGTGACTATGGAATGTCATGGAAAAGCATTGCTTGACGTCCTACTTTGTCATAACCGTCAAATAACTTCAAACCATAGATCTACGAATAAGAACCATSTAATACATGTAACAAAAACACTAAGGAAAAAAACGTATTACCCAACGTATTGTCATATAGTAACCGTTAAATAACATAATACATATAGATCTTTACCGAGTGACAAAAACACATTTCATAAACATAATACCTATCTACAAATAAGACCTACCTAATAAAGATGACAAAACACTAAGGAAAAAACGTATTACCACACGTATTGTCATATAGTAATCGTTAAATAACATAATACCTATCTACAATTAAGACCTACCTAATAAAAACAACAAAACACTAAGGAAAAAACGTATTACCACACGTATTGTCATATAGTAACCGTTAGATAACATAATACCTATCTACAAATAAGACCTACCTAATAAAAACAACTAAACACTAAGGGAAAAACGTATTACCACATGCATTATCATTTTATCTAGAGATTTGTATTCACATGCTGACATGCGTTACGTATACCATCACTAGAAACACTGAATTACGTCTGACTCACTTCAGATAATTTGTCGTAATCTGCTGTGTCTAAAGGTTATAATAAAAATAATGGACTCATGCGGATATTAACRTAAAACAACCATGTAAATGGACCAGCAGATCGCTATCTGTCTCGTCTTTGTTTGGCTGTGAAAATCATAACACGAAGAATAACATCCAACACCATTAGAACCTGACTCACAGATACGATGAGGAACAATCTTCCTTATATAGAATTGCAAAGTCAATAAGGAAACTCCACTAGGGTAGTTTACTCAAGGCTATAGRCTTTTCTCCGGATTTCATATCGGATTTCTTTAAAATGTTGATTGTTTAGATTGCAAATATTTGGCGATAAGTCGATAGGCTGTCGAATAACATTAGGTCAGTGTCAAACGTACTTTCACACGATGGTGGTAATAATTGAATGTTTAGTGAAGAATTCCGGTTATTGCGCTTGTCAAGAAACCTGTCCTAAAGCTATTTCTAGGGACATAGGAATTGTTCAAACGTAGTTGTTTTGTGGGTTTCGAAGATCAACGAATCGTCACTCTCCCTCACTATCRCCTGACAATCATTTCATAATCATGTACTGTACTTATACATAGATCTGTCAAAATTAGGGCTTCAAAACTGTAACGATTTTAACATAAACCAGCTTTGTAGAGCTTGTGTCTTCAGAAGATTCAGAAGAGAAGTGTCTGTAGATATCACGGTTGTAATTCTAAACTTTTTTCCCTTGACGTGACTATACGTGTTATTTTAATCACAAAGTTGCAATGTCGGTTATAATTCTAAACTTGTTTCCTTGACGTGACTATAAGTGTTATTTTAATCACAAAGTTGCAATGTCTTCATCAGCACACAAGTTAAAGAAGCCAAGGAAAGTCTCCTCTACTCTTCGTCCGTTTGGAATGATGAAGACAAAATCGGAGTCAAACTTGAACCATCCTTTTGAGTTCATTCATGTGGACATCGACCTTGACAAGGAAGAATCCGAAAAACCAGACGAAAAGACAAAAGAAAGTAAGTTTATAGAATTAACTCCAGTCCCCAAGAGAACTATTCCATCAGTGTTGATTCAAGCCATAAAAGACCATCAAAAAGTTGGTGACACGAAAAAAGAGAAGGAGAAACCAATTGCTTTGGACGACGGGCTGGAGGATTTCTTCAATGATTCAAGAAACAAAGTCGAAAGGAAGGATAGTGCTTCGTATCCTAAAGTGGATCTGACAACCGCGGATTTCGATGCCATCTCACTCCAAACCACATCGTAAGTATAGACATTTTCTTACGAGGTATATGTAATATTTGGGTTACCTGCCTCTGTTGTTTTGACACCTTAGATGTGAAATTTCACACTTTCGACGCGCAATCTTGAAAAAAGTTATGTATTTATTTGTTTATTTATTTATTTCATCGAGTACAATTTTAGATGTATTAAATACCATCTAAATACATTTTGTCGAAATGGCACCCACTTTAGAAGCGCATTTTAATGTGACCTTTCGCAACAAATGTTTGCCCCTAAAAATATTTTTTGGGCTTARATATTTAGTATTTAAACCAAGAAAAAGAAAATGTTTTCTCGTTTGATGCGTAATGAAAACCTTGGATGAATTATTGATTAATCGGAATTAAATCCATAAACAAGGAATACGGTGATTATAATTGTGGTATTATGTGTTGGTCAAATTAAGGGTTAATGTATCTATGTGGACAGTGGCATGCTTTAATGATACTCAGCAGCTGAAGGCAATGCTATTGTCCTGTACAAATGCTATGACATGAATTAATAATTGTTCTG